CTCATGCCTTTAAGGTATAAAGGATAAAGTCTTCGCCGTTGATCAATCCCTTTGTGGGATGCGGCACGCATTCTACTTCCATTCAGAATCGTAGTGGCTTATTGAATGCGATGTGGCCTATACAATGACTTGCGGTGGCCAGCCGATGTACAAGTCAGTGTTTTATCCTCCCAGACGAATCTGGTACCAATTTACCGTCCCCGGAGGGTAGAAGGCTTGGTTGGCCTGGGCGGGTGTCGACCTGGGATTCGAACCCAGGACCGCGCGAGTGGTAAGCGCGCCACTTGTCACTACACCACCTCCGCCTCTTCATGGGATAGTGCATAAAAAACGTTTTTCGTTGGCGACGGGAGAAAAGTCTGCTGTGAGTCTCGAAGTCGCTTAAGACTCACCATAGGCTCTTCAGCGGCTTCTGGTTGGGTATGCTGCCAGGCGTTCACCGCTGGGACACCGTCAACCTGAGGAGGCGCCTCCGGTGCCACATCAACCGTTTGAGGAGCTGCATCGGAAGCAACGTCAACCGGCACATTGAACTTCTCCTGAAACTCCGCTTTGTGAAGAGGGTGATAATGTGAGTTCTGAAGGGAGCGTTGAGTTTACTGGACGATAAAACGAGCTGATGATGATGGTGATACTTTTGGTCTTGTTTGGTGCATTAGAAGATTCATATAGCCTAACCTCACGAGGGAAGCCGTCGATTCCATCGCTGTCGTGTCCCATAGGCTGCTCAGGAGCAGGTTGTGGAACCACCGGTTGCTGCTCTACCACTGCCGTGTTGTCCACGAAAGGAGATGTCGCCGCTGCTGGATTGGGATTAAAAGGAGTATCGGCCTTAAATGATAGAAATCTCAGAAATCTGTGTGGACCCCTAATTTTGACGTTCTCATGCAGAGGTAGAATCCCTAGTGGTACCTTATTGCTATTTACCCAAGTCTGCTGCCATCTCTGATCGTCACCACTCATGTACCATGGTTTCATTACGTTCTCATTGATAGCGTTCACATTATTGTTGTTGTCCACGGGAAAGGGCTGAGGCATAATAGGTGCCTGGAAATCGCAAACCCTTTGAAAATGGAAGTATTAACTTGAAATAAACAGTGCAAAGGACGATACCTCGCTCTGAACAGGGAGAGGGAACTGATTTTGGTGCATCATAGGGGGCTGAAATGGTGGTGGAGGTGGCGCCTGAAAATGACAGTTCGTATAGCCATAAATGAAAGTTCATCTGTTACAACATACAACTGGAAAAATAGATCACGATGTATCAGGAGCTATTTTCTGCCTCAGATTTGATAGGTGAAAAGTCTCATACTGTTGAATTCAAGAGTTTTGAGGGTTTCTTTCAAGCTACGTTCCAGTCGCTTAAAGACACATGGTACGCTCAAACACATTGAGGGTGTATGAGACTATCAGCCCCCCAGCTGTCGATGTGTCGTGGTCCCCCCGCCCAAAACTGCACGGGGTCAGAGTACGGGGCCGTGGGAAAGTCGTAATTCCTTGCTACACCGCCCTCACGTTTATGCTAACACCATCCGCGCGGCGCGGTCGCGTGCAGCTCTCTTGGCTTTTTGCCAAGTCCTGTAATTGCGCTTTGGAATACAAGTACAACGCAATTTCTTTATGCGGGAGGTGCTGCAAAATAAGAACCGAAGATGATGACGAGGGCTAGAACTCAAGAGCAACTGTGGTGCTTCTGCAATATCCCTCAGAGGCCGCGCATTCCCACAGAACATGACAATAAAAACGGCCTAAGCGTCCCACTCGTTAGTTTGAAGTATTTCTATAGCTTTAGAGCCGGATTCGAGCCGGATCGCAGAAATGCACACGCGATTTTAATTTATTGCGTTTCCTTAAAGTATTTCAATTATTGTTTTATTTACATCTACATTCGTTGTTGTTCATTTCTAGCCTTTGTCATCTTCATCACCTTCTATTCGGACTTTGAAGCATGAGCAATACCTCAAATGTTAGGAAATTGCGTTTTGCTTGTATTGTCATGTTGTCCGTTTTATTGTCATGTTGTGTGGGAATTGCGCGCTCTTGAGGATATTGCAGAAGCACGGGGGATGCCAAGTTTGCTTTGTGTCTCTATGGGCCTCGTCTCATCTTGGTTCCTTAATTTGCAGCACCTGAAAATGTTATCCGCATAAAGAAATTGCGTTGTACTTGTATTCCAAAGCGCAATTACAGGACTTGGCAAAAAGCCAAGAGAGCTGCACGCGACCGCGCCGCGCGGACGGTGTTAGTAAAAACGTGAGTTTGCGAAACGGGCGGTGTAGCAAGGAATTACGACTTTCCCCGCCGCAACAGTACCTGACCACGTGCAGTTTAGGCGGGGGACCACTGAACACGACGACAGCTGGGGGGCTGGATAGTCTCATAACCCTTCATGTGTTTGAGCGTACCTGTCAAGCTGCCTGTCAGTACGTCTTTGGTACATCACGATGTTCCCAATTTTCAAATGAAAAAAAACGTTTTACTAGGCAGCGGCATTTTAAATCGTGTTCGAGCATGACTGCTAAAAATCTAATCGGAGAAGAGCCTTAGACAGTGGAAGCATCGATTTTCAGGACTCACCTGCGGCTGGAACTGCTGTTGCGGCTGGGGCATGGGATTGAAGAAGTAGACGACGGGTGGGGTCTGCTGAGGCATCATAGGCTGGTCCCAATGTGGCTGTTCCCACATTGGAGGCTGCGGAACCCAAGGTTGAGGCCAAGGTTGAGGTGGCTGTGGAGCCCATGGCTGAGACCATGGTTGCTGTTGCATCATGGCCTGTTGCTGTTGTTGCTGCTGGAACTGAAGCTGAGCCTGGGCCTGGAAAAACTGCATCGTAACGAAACATCAGCGCCAACATAACCGCTTTTATTTAGTACACATAATTTATTTTGTCAGGTCGGAGTTACACTTAACTTGCCAGACGAATCGAATCTTATCGATGAGAAGAAGTAGGCGTTGCACTTGAACATGGCTTAAAATTGGGTTACTTGTGAGACATTTCCGTTCGAGACAACTGTCATCTTGGTCTGTGATGAGTAGGGATACGACCACGATCGAGTCAAAACGAAAACATCTCTCCAGAAGCAGAGCCATTGCTACATTTAACTTAGGTACGCAGTCACGCCTACCACATCTCAGATATTTCATGTGTATGTGATGCTTATCTTCCATATTCAAATAACATCACCTAAATTATTACGATACTTGTGCATGTTTGACTTCCAAAGAGAATAAGAGGTCAGAGTTCTCATCCGTGAGTACCTTTCGAGAAGTTCACGATAAGAGTGAGACATTGAGTCTAATGGAGCCAAAGGAGTTACTCTAAGAACAATCAGAGTGGTTCCTAGAAGATATTCAACCTACACTGACAGTCGAATCGACCGACGTACACGTTGACCTTATAATTACTTTTTTCGCAATTCCGCATACTTGCCGCTTAATTGCTTATGCTGACTGCTGACCTCTCTTCAAGTCATTGACTATGACTAAGTGAATAAATGTAAGTGAAGAGTTATATAAATAAAATTATTGAAACTGAGATTAATGGACTATGTTGTAAAATCTAATAAATGAGAATTATTGAGGGGGGTCAAAGCAAAGAGATAGCTCAGCTTCCGTTTCGCACGTGCCCTTAGACGGAAGCCGAGCAAAAGCATATTCCTCCAGGGCACGCCATCGCGTTGTGATCATTTTCTGAAAATTACGACCCCCTAATTCCATACTAAAATACGACCCCCTTTTTGGGAGTTGGTACGACCCCCCCCCCCCCTCCCAGCCCTCTGTCCTTCCTCATCGAACCGAGCCGTCGAGCGGGGGGAGGTCGTCAGAATTAAACTATCATTTTCAAGTGTCGGAAATAATACGTATAAAATTTTTCTCTGACCAAATACGACCCCTCCCTTGTGATGATCACAACGATGGCATGCCCTGTATTCTTCCTTCCGTGCTCCTCAGTAAGGAAAGGAAGAAAAAAAATCAATTGCAGCAAGTTTATAAGGAATAAAGTTGAAAACGATAAAGACTGAGAAGTTTAAGAATGCTAATTGATTGGATAACGTGAGTAGGACATCGTAATTACGAAAAACAGACTATCACTTGATGTTACATTATCTTCTTCTTCTTCTCCCTAGCGTTAGTCCCGCGCCGTCGCAGGGTCCGCTGTTCTTGTTAGACGTCGCCACTTGTTCCGATCCACTGCATCTTCTGCTGTGGCTTTCACTTCAGTGAGGTCCTTCTTGATGACGTCCCTCCA